GAAGTATATATATAGTACACACTTACTTCAATATCCTGCTCTGAAAGGTCAATGGAGAAATTATTTGACAAGGGCTACATATGAGGTGACCAACGACCACCCAGAAAAAAACTTTGGGACCCCCCCTTGGGGATCACAACCCCCAGATTGGGAAACACTGGTGTAGATTCTCTGGTACAGATAAATACAGTGTCTGTTGCAAAAAGTCACTGGATCATTTGTGGAAAACTGCAGAAATCTGTAAAGGATGATAAGAATAATCTCAAAATACTGTAAAACTATACTAGAGAGAAATGCAGTACTGTGCATTTTCCTCTTTTGGGTTCTATGTGGAATGCAATTGTGGAACAGAAGGTGGGATTGTGATCCCATCTGACTGGAAGACTGGCTGATCTCACATACTCCTATGCCTAATTATGCATATTCAAATCACAGTGGGCAACTGTAAATATCTAAGCCTTTTCTTTTCTCTTTTGTTATTTACGTTATTATTCAGAAATAAGAGCTTATGTCCACATGGGAACACAGTTAACTCTGACCAAGGAAATTGCCTTTGTGTTCTGAATTGTTTTAGGATCTACTGTTGTCTAGCTCAGGTATCTGGGTGCAGAGCCAGAGATTGGGAGTTCGGTTCTTCACTGTGCATCCAGAAGAGCCAGCCTGTGTGGCCTTGGGCAAGCTGCACAGTCCCAGAGCACCCCCGGAAAAAGGGAATTTTTGAGAATTTGAAATGGTGTTGTCTTTTTGAAGCCAGGTGAAAGTGGTTGATTCTCATGTTCGGGGTAGGAGCACTTCCTCCATATATAACTGCTCCCTGAGATTAAATGTTGAAGAAAGGGAAACCTACAGTGGGGTCTCTACTTAAGAACTTAATCCGTATTGGAAGGTGGTTCTCAAGTTGAAAAGTTCTTATGTTGAATCTGCATTTCCCATAGGAATGCATTGAAAACCATTTAATCCGTATCTGCTCTTTTCCGTCCATAGAAACTACAGTGGAACCTCTACTTAAGAACTTAATCCATTTTGGAATGGTGTTCTTAAGTTGAAACGTTCTTAAGTTGAAGCAAAATTTCCCATAGGAATGGACTGAAAACCAATCAATCCGTTCTGGCTGTTTTTTTGTTATGTAGAGGTGCGTTCGTACATTGAAGCATTAGTTCCCATAGGAACTAATGCAAAGCTGGTTAATACGTACTCTACCACTAGGGGGAGAATTTTTTTTTTAACCTAAGATGACCTAAGGTTAAAAAAAGAGCAGGAAAGGTTTTTTTTCCTGTTCTTATCTTGGATTTCTGTTCTCAAGTAGAAGCAAAATTTAGCAAATGGAGCTGTTCTTAAGTTGGATTGTTCTTAAGTAGGGACGTTCTTAAGTAGAGACCCCACTGTATTGTTGTGCCCTTAGGATGTCTTCCCCAAGGAACGTAGCCTGACTCTAACCACAGATTTTAAACATCTGTTGGGACTGGTCTTAAGTGCTATCATCCTGTCAAATTTTAATGACTTGTGGCTATTGTAATTTTAACTGGATTTCATTCCTAGCCATTTTTGAATTTGTATTTAGGGAGTCTTTGTTTATAATGAAAGATGGGCTACAGATCTATCAAAATGAATAAATGAGTACACAAGAAAATTCTTTTCATTTTTGTTATTTCTTCTGTTATCTTTTAAAGTAAATCTGATGCCTCTCTATGGGGCTTTTGAGGATCACTTAGATTGGCATATATTTGAATAAAGAAATTTAGATGTCTTGGAGAATAAGGCTTCCAGTGAGTACAAATTGTGATGATAATATATAATTGTCCAGTAATACTAAATCTACCAGTATTAGAGGTAGATTCTAAACAATTCTTCTGCTTGTCTATAGACATAATACAGTACCAAAAAAATAAACTAGTCAAATTAAGTCTATTTATCTCACAGATACCACACAATATCTACTTATCCTTAGTTATGGAATAGTATATCTAATCTTGCCTTCATCAGCATTCTCAAATTATATTACTTCTGTCCAAAGATGGGAAACATTGATTTCTTGAATAGATAGTATTCTGGGAGTTCTTTGCCCAGCCAGCCCAGAGTAATGAGATGAGACACAGGAGGTGGGTTGAAATAAAGGCCACACTTTATTAAACATCAAACACAACA